ATAGGCGGCTGCGCAGGCCACGGCTTCGCCGGGCTGATCGTCGGCCCCGCCGACGGCTTGGCCGTGGCAGGGCAAAGTCAAGAGACATGTAGAGGCAGCGATGCCGGTAGGTGTCCGAATCCAACCGCGTTCGCTAGCCTTGCGAGGCGAATCGTAGAAATAAGTGATGGTATCCGCAGAGTCTAACGAGGGCGGAGAAGCGGGCGCGGACTCAGCCGGCCGTCCGTCAACATAGCTGTGGCTTCCAATCAACTCATGTGCATGCAAGTCTATGGTTACGCGAGTCTGAATAGCATGGGGCGGAGGGCCTCCCGCCGATTCCACATCATCCAGAAATGCCTTGGCGCCTGGCGTCACGCAGCACCACCGCTCGGGAGTTTCGCCTCCCCCAGCGGCAACCGCGCACATCCACTGACCCAGCGCCTCTTTGCCTTGCGAGACTCTCGACTTGCTCCCTGCGTTCGCGGAGGGACTCTCCACGGGAGGAGTGTTTCTCAACTCCTCTGCTTATATTTATAAAGGCCTTTGGAAAATGAGGGCCGGCCTGCTTCTGCCCAGGGGGGGCCCGAACTAACGGGGCAGGGCGCGCTGGCGCGCCCAGGCTGACTGGTTCAGTGGGCGCGTTCCCGCCCCCCCGCATTCGGTTTGACCGACGCGGGCGTCGCCGCATCCGTCTAGCGAGGAAGGCGAGGAACATCATCCTTGACAGAATTCTACAACTCAGCCCGTCTGCACTGGCGGCGCGGCCGCCAGTGCCGAGCCAGTGTCGCGGATGGTCGGGCGTGGTCTGAGCGAACCAGCGATCTTTCCCACGCGTGCACTTTCCCGTTTCTTTGAAAGAGCGACGGATCTTATCCTTGCTTTTGCCTTTGCCTTTGCTTTTGTCTGAACCGCCACCCCCTGCGGATGAAGAGACATTGGCGGCGGCAGCATTGGCTTGTTTTACAGTGCGCTCGTATCCGAGAGTCTTGCCGGCATTAAGCCTGGCCTGTTCATACTTGTCGCGCTTAAGCTTTTCTGCGTCAGTCAAGGCTCTGTGTTGTTTGTGGCAACCGTCCGGGGTCCATGGCAGTTCTTAGGATCACGTGAGTAAGGATAACAAGGCAACTTGCTTTGTTTCTCGCGCGAACGATCGGATTGGCCCCTCGTCCGTTGCTGTGCGCCTTTTCCACGGCCACCTGCTGGAGTCTGAGATCGGCTACGTGCCTTTCGGCCTCCGCCTTTCGGTTTCTCAGACCTCCCATCTGGAACGAGTATTCGGAGCTGGAGCAGCATTCGAATTAGCTCCCGCAGCCGGCTGGGCCAGAGCGGCAACTTTGGGCTTCTTATGACTAAAAGGGCAACCCTGGCCCGCATGCGGGCAGGTCTCTCCCTTACGCACAAATTTGCACGTTGTCTCGCCCTTCGTCGCTCCATTCTTCATAACATATGTGGACTCCCCGAGACGCGCTGCCACTTCTGCCGCAGCGGCTTTGCCGTTGAGGCCTCGGCGGTTATCGTTGCCGTTGCCTCCGCCGCCGCCCAAACGCGTCTGCCGAGCACGCTGATTCAAAGTGCCCTCATGCAGATTGATGTTCCACTCTTCCTTCTCACGCAACATCATCCATTCAATCTGGGTTATGAGCCACTCATAGGTTTTCACGCCTTCCCCTGGCTTGTCCGTAGACAAATCGTAAAGTTGACAGATCAGCTCGAACTTCTTCGGCTTCCTGCACTGCTCAATAAAGTGTGCATGGGTCGAAGCTCGCATCTCATCAGACGGAGGTCGTGCGCCGTAGAGTTGTTGATACACATATGTCCATTCATTGTAGAAGTGGTACAAATCAGCATCTGGGCGATTGGGATCAATAACTACCTTGAAGATGTCACGCGAAATTCGATGTTGGCCCAACTCCGATCTGACTGAACACCAATAGCAGATGGCCCGTATCATTTCGCGCCCTGTTAAGAGTCTCTTCTCATTCTGGGCGCCGCATTCCATGCGATTGATCTGCTGAAGGAAGTGAATGTGATGAGTGGAAAGACTGCGATTCCTACGCACTTTGTTGAGTTAGTGGCGATCATGATGTCTAGGCGTTGGAAGCGACCCAGATTTCTGAGCTGTTCTTTAGTCACAGAGGGGCCCATAGCTTCCATGATCCAGAGCTGTGCTTCCCGAGTCTCAGGAGACGATCCCGCCACAGCACGGACTGTATGCATCTGCCACTCCCGCATGTTTGTAGCATCGGGAATGTCCATTAGATCGACCTTCTGGTTGTTTCCAACCTGTCTCCACTGATCAAGAGGGGTATTCTCATCAGATGCCAGGCTTGACCAGGCCTTCGGTGGCAGGGCCAGGGACAGTGTAATGGGGTTGCATAACTGGCCTCACGGGCGTCTCCTGTGAGAGCTGGGGCATATCGAACAGATGGAACCTGGGCAACTTACCCAATTCTTTCTCGATGTATTGAAAGGGTTCCATGCCCATAGTTCTCGTCATCTCTTTTGCCCTTTCGATCAAGGCCGCCTCACGGTCAGCATATTGCAATTGAGACCGCACATGTTGCTCTTTTTCTTTCAAGGACTCAGTGATGACAGCCTTGAGCCCCATCACTTCTATCTCTGATGCAGCTGCGCGTGCCGGCGCCTCATCTTTCTCACGAAGGTTGGCAGCTGACCTTTCTGAGCTCAATCGAAGTTTTTCCTCAGCTTGCTCCGTCATCCGTTGCAAATTACACTTGTCAGCGTAAAAGTCACCAAGGAGCTTCTGCTGTTGGGCCCGAAAGTCGGGATCAGCGCTATGTCGCTGCCATTGCTCATCCCACTCCGCCTGTTCCACGGGCAGGCTCTTTCGTTGAGTACAAGTGACGCAAGGTCTGGTGCTCTTGTCAAAGTGGTTTTTACAGCTTGGTAATCCGCAAGTTGCGCATGTTCCGATCTTCGGAATCGAGCATATTGAACAATTTTCGTCAGTTCCCCCTTTGGCGGGCTGCGGCTGCTGGACAGCTCTTACCCGCAACATGGGCGGCATCCCGCCATCTAGGGGCGCCGAGCCAGGCTGGGCCTGCGACGACGTTGCACCAGACGGCTGGGCCGCCGGTGATGGTCGTCTGCTCGCCCCTGCCGGCTTGGCTGGTAGGCGCTTTTCGTCACCTAATTGTGATCGCTGAAGTGATGCTCTAGCATTTTCATGCAACTCGAGCTCATCTCGATACTGATTATTTTGATCAACTCCCGTCGCAGCTACAATCTGTGCACTGGCCACTTCTAGCCTGGCAGCACAAAGTTGGTATTGGAGCTCCTGTTTATCATGTTCTGCCCTGGCTATCGCGGCCCTCTCCCCTTCTATTCTCGCCACCGCAACAGCGGCGCAGGCGGACTTGGCATCTATAGATTGACTATTTGCCGCCAGGGCAGCCTGTCGTTCGGAAGATGTCGTCTCAACAATCCTGTTCTCGGCTTCTCCCGCACGCTGCTGGGCAGCCGCGGTCTGATAGGACATTTGTTCCATCAATTCTTGTTCCCGCCGACTGGCAGCTTGGGCCAGGGCGAGTCTATCAGCCTCGAACCTCTTCCGGACATCGGCAATAACTGCGTTCATTTCTTCTCGATCCAGTCGAGCCTGTTCGGCCCTGTGAGCTTCCAGGACCATGGTTTCTTGCTGTCTCTTAGCCTCCATGATTCTGGCCTGATCCTTCATGGCTTGGATGAAAAGGTATTGGCAGTTATGTTCTTCCATTTGGAAACAATCCTCACGCAACCACTGATTGCCGCAATTGGGACACACGTCATAACAGTACCCACACACTGGGCGCTTACAAGGTCCCCCCTGTTTGTGAGCTTCCCCCGGGCACCTATTTTCCGCGCCCCTGGTCCTGGAGCCCCTGGGAAACTGGCTGTAAGTCTACTGGTCTTGCTCAGGAACCGTCATAGAGAGGAGAGTGGTGACACTGTCGACGTACAAGTCGTGCTCCCTCGACCTGGGAGTGCTGCGTGATTGCTGGCTGCCGAACGATTCCCGATCCGCCACTCTTTCCCTCGCACTCTGATCTCCCTCGATGCTCTCGACTGGCCGGGGAAGTCCGTTCAGGCGATTGCCGAGCTGTCGGCGCTGCTCTCCTCGAGCACGATGGAAGTCGTCTCGGGAGATGGGTGACTGCCCCCAGGTTCTGGATCCCATGTCCCGAAGTCTGTCGGGCTGGACCAACGCTCTTTCCTGGAGGGCAACGTCTCGGGCAATCTCTAACCTTCCTCCTGGAGGTTCCGAAGGGTTTTCAGGGCCCCCGGGATCCAAGCGAGAAGCGGGTCTCTCTTCCGCTTCGATGTCGGACATCTGATCTTGTCCCCTGGATCGCGCAAGGTCGATGGCTCTCAGCTCGGGAGCTCCCGCGCCGTCTGAGAAAGAAGACCAGGCGTCTGACATCTGATATGAGGGGAGACCCGGGCGCGTAGACATGCGACTCGCCGCCCTAGATTCCGCCAGAGGCACCCCAGGCGGAGACGCGTCGGGCGGAGGCGCGACGGCACCTCGCTCGCCCCGGCGGCGTCTCTTGGAGGGAGGTCGGGGGTCGGAGCAGCTGGGGCAGGGGGGGTCACGACGGCTTCTTGCTGGTCTGCGCGCCGCTGGCCAGTCGCGGGGGATCCGTGCATGTTTGGCAGGCTCGGGGTGACCGACGCCTTGCTGGACGGCGCGCGGGAGGCTTTGCGGTCGGCGAGCGTCGCGACCTTGGTGTGGGCTGGCCAGGGCTCCCAGAGTTGCCCTGCTTGCCCGGAGTGTCCGAGCTGTACCTGCTCTCCATCTCTGGCGCGCCCCGCCTTGCAGCGCCCGTCCTGCACGCTGGGGAGGGCCACCTGTCCCAGCTGCCCGAGCTGCCCTGAGGTCAGCTGCCCCGAGGTGGCGGTGGGCCTCGGCAGGTGGTGGCTCGTCGCGGCGCTGCTCGCCGGCCTCGCGGGGCTCGCTGCGGGCTGCTGCGTAGGGGCGATCTGGGGCGCAGGGCTTCGGCGCATCGTGCATGTCCGAGGCGAGACCTATCGCTCCGGGCCGCCTGGTCCTGGTGTGGTACGGGGGCGCGGAGGCGCATTGGCGCGAGCTCCTCCTGCTCTGCAAGGTGGAGGGGGCGACCTGGGTCATCGCCACGCCTGATGGCGATGTCATCGCAGAAGACATCTACGACTTCAGCTGCCCGCCGTGCTGCCAAGGGTGGATCCCGCTGTTCGTCACGGCCAGCGCCTTGCTGTATAGGTTCGGGCCGCCCGGACAGCAGCACGCACCAGCAGAGCGGCGGCAGGTCTTCAAGGATGGGGTTGCGACCGCGCAGATTGAGAGGGCCAACAGGGTTGTCGACGCCGTTGCTGCTGATGCAGAGCCTGGCGCTGTGCATGACCGTGTGGCTATGCACGGGTGGACCGCAGATGCTGGACTACCAGGTGGAGGCGCAGCCGTCCCGCTGGCTGGAGTGCCCTTGGGAACGGACGCTTGGCCAGGGGCAGCGGCGTCGGCGCGCCGCCAGTGGATCATGGTCGCCAGCGATGGGCAGCCAGGAGCGCCTTCCGTCGAAGCTGACTGGAGTGTGGACGCGAGTGCGGACATCGTGGCCGACTTCGCACTGGCCAAGCTCGGATCCGCGACCCTCGTGTTGGGGAGTATCGACGTCGGCGGCAGGGAACTCAAGCTGGTGGCCATCACGGACTTTCCGATCCAGGGCCCGCATACCACGTTCTGGCTCTGCAGTTTCGTTAGTGATCAGGGCCAGGTGCCCAGGACCAGGGCTGGGAGGTCGATGCGGGACGCCCATGAGCCGGACAACGACAGGCTCAAGCACGAACAGGGTAGCCTCTTGGAGATCCTCGAGCTTGCTCTCACCTACGATCAATTGGATGTGCCATCGCTGGCCTCTTGTGATATCCTCGCGCGACGGGTTCGGTTATTGGAGGAGGCCTACACTTCGAACCCGAGGGCTGCGAGGTTGGAGGAACGCGAGCACTACCAGGGGCTCGGCAGAAGGGTCGCCGTGGTGGCCCCGACGCTCACCACGCACGTTGCAGGGCAGCTGCAGGGTGAAGCGCAGATCCAGATGGAGCGACGCAAGGCCCGCGAGGAGGCGGCCCTTGCGCGCGAGGGCTAGCCGCCCCGCGGCATCTACGTTTTCGTGGCCCGCTCAGGGCCGCCAACTAGTCGAGGTCGTCTTCGGAGACCCTGGCGCCTTCACCGCAGTCGGGGCCATCTTCGAGGACCTCGGCGAGATTTTGCTTGGGACATGGCGGATGGTCGCCAGCGTGACCTACTGCCGCTGCCAAGGCTGGGCAAGATTGAGGTCCCACGTGGTGCTCTCCGTCGTGGAGTTCAGCAGCGTATCTGTCGTCGTGCGTGGGTTGACAGGCGCGTCGACGAGACAGTTTGGGCCCTCAGTGAGCTTGGAGGGGTTGGCAGCACGCAGCTCGGTGGTCCAGGTGGAGAGCAGACGCGGGCTGCTGTTGCTATGGCCCAGGACGCCGCGTTGGCCGTGCCCTTACCTCGAGAGCGGCCCGCCCCGCATGAAGCCCTCGCGGCGCTTCTGCGCACAGACGCTCGCTACGGAGACAGCGAGTGCGCCGGGGACATTGCACCGTTTGGTTCGGCGCCAGTCTCGCTGCCGGGCCGCGACTTGTCGGGGGTGGACATCTACCAAGTTCTGCCTTCGGACGCGTCGCGCAAGCTCAAGCGGCTTCGCGACGCCATTCTTCTCAGTAGCGAGGAATATGCATTGCGTATCAAGAGCGAGGGGCTACCCAACCTTTACTTTGACCCAGCGCTGGAGGCGCAGCCCTCCAAGTGGGAGGGATTTTGTCGGGAGCTGCGTGGCAGGGGGCTGGCGCGCTGGACCCGACCCTACAAAGAGAGGGTTGGCTTGTTGCTTGTTCGCAAGAAGAGATGTGATTCACGACTCATATGTGATGCACGTCGGAGTAACGTTCAGTTCGACATCCCTGGTTCCATACAGCTTGCTACTGGTGGCTCGCTCAGCCGTCTCGACAGCAGCTCCGAACAGGCCATCTACTGTGCCAGCTTTGACATCAAGGACTTTTTCCACGAACTCAGGATCCACGAGGAGCTCTCCCATGTTACCAGAGGCTCGGGCTTTGGCAGTCGGGGTGGAGAGCGTCAATGGCGTCAAGGTCGTCGACCACGAGCTCATCTACCCGGCGCTGCAGTCTCTGCCCATGGGCTTTTCGCGGGCCATGTGGGCGGCACAGCTGGTGCACGAGGAGGTTCTGCGTCGCGCCGGCCTGCCTCCTCCTCGCCTTCTTCGCGATGGCACCCCGCCACCCTCGCTGGACGGAGGGCCCGTGCACGTGGCCTACGTGGACAACTTTGGGGCCACCGGGCGCGACGAGGCCGAGGCCGAGGCCATGCACCACCAGGCGCTTGAAGGCGTCAGGAAGGCTGGGTTTCATGTTCACGAGATCGAGCGCGTCAGTACCTCCTTGGACATCATTGGCGTGCACTTGGATGGCGAGAGGAAGGTGGTCACGCTGTCTGCGGCGCGGGCATGGCGGATCTATGCCGGGCTGCACGCCCTCGTGCGGCGGGGGCGTTGCACGGGGAGGGAGATGCGGGCCATCTTGGGCCACCTGTGCTTCGCCTTCTTGCTGCGCCGCCCGTGTCTATCCTGCATTGCGGCCGCATTTGCCTTTGCCGAGTCCGCTGGTAACGACTGCAAGAACCTCTGGCCCAGCGTCAAGAGGGAGCTTCTCATCGCTGTCGCGATCTTGCCGCTGGTCTACGCGGACATCGCGGCGGGATGGCTTGACCAGGTGGTGGCGACTGAGTGGCCCGCGCATGCCATCCAGCACGCAGGCTCCCACGACGAGCGCTGGAGGTTCAAGAAGAACCCGCAGCGCAAGCACAGGGAGGTCGCCCTGGCGGGCTACGACATCGCCGAGCCTCCGGTCGATAGGGACGGCAACCTCCCAGTTGACAGCGACGAGGGCGTCTGGATGGCCGTCGGCGACTTCCCAGATGTCGAGCCCGCCGCTGTCGAGGAGGCAAAGTGGGCCGTGGTCGCCAAGCGCCCTTGTGGGGGTCACGAGGGGGCCATCCATGTCAGAGAGGCGGGGGGCGCGAAGCTCGGCCTCAAGCACGTGGTCCGATGCGGCCGCTGGCGACACAGGAAGGTCCTCATGCTGGTCGACAACATGGGCCTGGTGCTCGCGCTCCAGAAGGATCGATGTCGCGACCCAGCTCTCCTCGGTCAGCTTCGTCAGATGGCCTCTCTGCAACTCGCCACTGGGCTGCGGGCGCGGTTCCGCTGGATCCCTGCAGATCGGCCCTCGCGGCAGTGGGGGCCGGCAGTGGCTGATGCTGGGCTTGCATGGCGTCCTCCTCCTGGGCTTGTTCTCCTGATGCCTGGTGCTGTCACGAGGGCGCCGGGCATGGTGCGCAGGAGGCCTGCTGGCGTGACGGCACGCAACGTTGCCCAGCGAATCGAGACCTCCCCCGCTATGCACTTGGTCAGCCTGGAGACTCGACTTCGCGGGCAGCAGCCTTTGGTGGACGCAGGGTCAGGACCATCCGAGCAGGCGATCCTGCCCCGTCCCCCGGCGACGCCCGCCGAGCGTCCAAGCGGCTCGCGGAGATCGCGGGTCGCAACCTCGACAAGGCAGGCTGCCGCGCGCAGGTCTGCCAGCAGCGGAGGCCTCTCCTGCCTCGAGAGTATCGCGGTGAGGCCTGTCCAGGTCGAGGACTACCACAGACGGATCGAGGAGTTCTATGGGTTCGTCCGCCGCCAGGGCTTGAGCACCTGCACCCTGGACTCCCTGGAGGCAGCGCTCCTGGACTGGGCGGGCGACGCGTTCTTGGAGGGCGGGAAGAAGCACGACGGCGAGAAGCTGAAGGCGGCTGTCCTGCACTACTACCCGAGCCTCAAGAGGCCCAACACCAAGCCGCTCGCCAGGTTCGAGAGGTGCCTGAAGGCTTGGGGGCGTCGGCGGCCCGCGCTAGGCCAGCTGCCGCCGCCGTGTCCAACGATCTGCGGTCTGGCGGTGGGCCTTCACCTCCTGAACCACGCGGACATGGCGGCGGCTGCGCTGGTCGCGCTCAGCGCCTACTTGCGGCCAGGGGAGCTGCGTGGTCCCCGCGTGCGCGACGTCGTCCCTCCCGCGCTTGGCTACGGGGCGGAGTACCAGAAGTGGTCGCTGATCCTCGGGCCGTCGGACGGTCAGGGCGACCCGACCAAGACAGGCGTGCGCGACGACAACGTGACGATGGACCACGAGAACCTGCAGTTCATCGGGCATTTCTTCGAGCTGTACCGCCGCGGGAAGGACCCCGACGAGCCGCTGTGGAGCTTCGCGCAGGCGGAGCTCGGGGCCATGATCGCCAAGGCGCTCAAGGTGCGCAACCTCGAGGGCCTGGGCGTCGTGCCCTACAGCCTGCGGCGTGCAGGCCCCTCGTGGGACGTCATCACGGGCAGGAGGTCTTAGCTAGAGGTTCAGCGCCGCGGGCGCTGGGCCAGTGTCAGCTCGCTCATCAGGTGCGAGAAGTCGAGCAAGGTGAATCCATGCTGGTGAACCTGGACGAAAGCGTCCAGGAGCACCTCAGGCTCTGCTGCGCGGACCTTGGCAGCACCCTCCTCGGCGTGGTCTCCGCGCCGCGACCGCCTGGCTGGACCGCGGCGACGTCTTCCTTGACATCTTTGCCGGCTCCGGTGGGGGTCGGCAAGGCGGTGGCGAGGTGTGGCATCTCGTCGCTAGAGGTGGAAATCCAGAGCGGCCTCGACCTGCTCGCGCTAGGAGTGATGGAGGCCCTGCTGAAGCTGGTGAGCTCAGGCCGTGTGACAGGAATGTGCCTGGCTACGCCTTGCCGATCATTCAGCATAGCAAGAAGAGAGCCGCCTGCTTCGGATATGCCCAGAGCTGTCCGCTCCCCTGAGCACATCTGGGGCTTCTCGACTCTATCTGATAAGTATAGGAAAGTGTGCATAGAGGGCAACCGACTCGCCAAGGCAACATGCAAACTCGTTCGGCAAGCTATCCGATATGATGTGCCCTTCATGATAGAGAGCCCTGCCTCATCCATGCATTGGTTCATTCCATTTCTGAAGCACCTCAGCACCTCCAAGTTTGCAAAGTTTGCTGTTCTCGACCAGTGCCAGTTCGGGACTGACTTCAGGAAGCGGACGGGCCTCGACGTTGATATTGGTGATGTTCATGCTGATGATGATGCTATTGTTGATGATGATGATGGTGGTGGTATTGCTGATGTTGGTAATGCTGATGATGATGGCGATGCTGATGGGGATGACGATGATGCTGATGATGATGATGGTGCTGCTGCTGATGATGATGATGATGCTGATGCTGATGCTGATACTGATGAGTATGAGTAGGAGGATGATGATGAAACTCGTTTGGGCCGCCTTGCGGCTGTCTAGGCTTCCTGTGAGGCATTCTTGGGTGTCCCTTGGGGCCCTCCTCGGCCGTCTTGGGTCTTCTTACGCCAGCTTGGAGTTCTCTTGGGCCGTCTTGGAGCCCTCTTGGCCGTATGGTTGGTGTCTGGGGGCCGTCGTGGGGCCGTCTTGGCGCCGTCTTGGGCCGTCCAAAGGCCTTCACGGCCGCCTTCGGTCCCACGGGAGGTGGGCCATCGTGGATTTCCCGTGGGCCGTCTTGAGCTGACGGCAGGTCGAGAAGGCGAGAACGCGAAAATCATTCAAACATTACGGACTCACTGATTTTGCGTTCTACGGACCCCGTCGGAGGTCCTCTTGTGGCCCTGTTGGGCTCTTTTGGAGGCATCTTGGATTGTCTTGAAGCAATATTCGTCTGCCTTGGGGCCATCTTGGGCCGTCTGTGAGGCATCTTGGGCGATCTTGGTGTCGTTGGTTGCCTGTACGGGCCGTCGTGGAAGCTCGGACGCAGATCCAGAGTTTTTAGCAAAAGATCGTGGCTTGGGAGGCCCTGGAGCGTTTCGGAGCAGCGCCTGGGATTGCCGGACGTGCATGATCCTCGAGTGGGTGCGTGTGGGATGAGGGGTCTAGGAGGTAACAGCCATGCGGGAAGTGCGGGATCCTCGAGTTGGCGTGCATGGAATGAGGGTTCAGGCAGTAGCTGCCATGCGGGAGGTGCACTATCTTCGAGCCAGCACGCGTGGAAGGGGGGTTCAGGCATTAGCCATTCGCTGCCATGCGGGAAGAGGCACGATACTCGCGCGGGCACGAGGGAAGTGGCTTCGGTGAGCAGGGGGGATGCACGCAAGAGTCTGCGAGTAGAGAGAGGGGCAGTCCCCTATCATGATCCAAAACCCTGCCATACAGACCTTGGCATTATTCCACGCTTCTACGTGCCAGGGGGCACGGTGGCAGATTGTTGTGCACCTCGGCATTTCTTGCGATTGTTTGCTCGCTTATGCCTTGAGCGTGCCATGGCACTGGGCGTGTCCAGTTGTTTACAGGAAGCCAGGGTGAGTGCCGGAATCGGAACATTAGAGGTGTGTTGTTGTCGACCTGTGTCTCTACGACATTCAGGTCCGTTTTCGGGGCACGAGTTATCATGACTTTTTGAACGGTTTGTTGTGGTGATGTTTGCATTGATTATCAGCAAGGCAGCCGCTGCTACTCCAACAATCAAAGGGACTGTCGAAGGTGCCGCCAGCTTCCAAGAGCGTTGAGCTCGCTGCCGTCCTCTGCTCATCTTTTTGGAGCTCTGTCTCACCGTCTTGCATGTTTTCTTTTCTTGAATGAGAATCGTTGTGGTATTTCAGATTTCTGTTTTGCATTGTGGCGCAAGTGCAGGGGTACCCTGCGAGCTGACGCAGGCAAGTTCAGTCCGATGTGTTCACTTTTGGTCAGACTGAGCCCCAAGTCGAAGGACATCAGCGCCGGCCTCTACTAAATCAACCCTTGTCAGGCTGCCACTGCAGGTGTGTACCATGATTTCCAATGGCCACTTCCCGCCTGTGATTGATACGAAAGACTACGCCGTGCTGAATGGGTGTGTGAAGAGGGCAGCGAGCCTTAGTGCCACCTAATGCTCGCATGACCTGACAGTCGACCCATTCTGTAGGTATACATCGAGGGTTCCAGGTGCCACATGGGACGTTCCAGAAAGAGCTTCGCCTTCGAGGGATCGAGAAGTCGACTTTCTCGGCTGAAGCTGCTGGAATGCCGCTGGAAAGCCTGCGGAAGCAAAACGAGGGCGCGTGCGGAAAATAGTGGAAGGCTGGCGGAAGGTGGTGGAATTAAAACATTCGTCCCCAAGTTGTTTTGTTATTATATCTTTTTTGTTTCCCCCAGGGGGGCGGGGGGAAGGTTTTCCGGAATTGGCAACATGGGCGCCCGTCGGCTGTATGACCTCATCACACATTGAAAAATGTCTTTCTCAGTCTCGTGTGCTTGCAGTGGTTTTCAGGATGTCTTGCGTTTCGACTTTAGTTCCGGTGTTTAGTCTCTTTAGGCCTTATCTCAGCCTTAGGGTCATACTTGGGACTTCGTGAACTATTTCGGGGGACAGCGTAAATGTGTTCAAAGGGTTGCTGTTCACAAATAGAACATGGGATCTCGTATGAGCAGGTGTCCCCCCGGCATTCAACTCGCACGACCTTGTTTTGTGAAGCATATGTGTGCCTGCGCGTGGATCCCAAGCAGTTAGTTCATTCGTCTTCGTTTGGGTTCTTTGCGGTGCGAGCGAAGGCTGCTCAGGGTGGGGCCCGGCAAGAGGAAATCTGGCAACCAAGGGCAGCCAATGGCGGGATCGTCATGTGACAACGAAGGTTTTCGTCATACAACATGGGCATGAAGGGAGCAATGGGCGGCAACCGGAACGTTCAGCAAGAGGAGTCAGCCGAAAGCCCCGACCAGCAGCACCCAGAGCCCTGCCACTGTCTCTCTCTCACTCTCTCTCTCTCTCTATCTTTCTCTTCGTGGGGCATGAGCGCCAGCCTCGACCAGCAGCGAGCGGGCAGGAGAGGGCCCCCGTCCAGCTCCGCCGAGAAAGCTTACGATGCTCTCGAGCAGCGCCCCCAGACCCTGGCTCCCATGCGCTCAGAGGGGGTCGTTTGGGGGGTCGCTCCTCCCTCCCCACTTTCCTCCCTCCTCCCCCCCCTCACCCCTCCTCCATTCTTTTCCCTCCCACCCTCCTTCTTCTCTTTCCTCGTCTCCTCATCCCCTCCTCCCCCTCCCCTGCCAATCAGGAGGCTGCCTGCGTGCGCTCGAGACCCGGCTCGCGCCGCGCCATGCGCCCGGCCATGGGAGGCCACGGCCTACCCACAGCCGTTTCACCTGGGCCCCCACGGCCGTCTCACCTGGGCCTGCCTCGCTCGCTCCCGCAGCCCCTCCTCGAGCTCTGCTCCTGCAGCGTGAGCCGACCACCTCGGCGATTCTGGTCGGGCCCATCCTGGGCCCGGGATCGGTATAATTACGCAGACATCCGACAGTGTGTTTGATCCCAACCATCTTGTGGTGTTGGGTCCTCGTTTTGAAGAGACAGCGCCCCGCCTCTCCTCTCCTCTCCTCTCCCCTCTTCTCCTCTCCTCTCCTCTCCTCTCCTCTCCTCTTCTCTCCTCCTATCCTCTCCTCTCCTCTCGTCTCGTCTCGTCTCGTCTCGTCCCCTCCTCTCCCCTCCTCTCCCCTCCTCTCCCCTCCCCTCCCCTGCCCTGCCCTTCCCTGCCCAGCCCTGCCCTCCCCTCCTTCCTCCTCCCTCTCCTCCTCCCACCCTTGCCTCTGCCCTCTGCATGTCCACCATTTCAGCGCACCCCTATCCTTCCTGGTATCCATTTCCTGGCAGGCGTGTGCGGCCACAAACACTGAAATTGCAGCGCCAAGAACTACTTGGCGCACCTCACCACAACTCTGCCACCTGATGAACATAATGGTGTTAACAAATCGTACGCCTTCTTGTGGTGAAATGAGCCTGGGGGCCTGTGAGCGCCCTGCAGCCGTGCTTGTCACGGTGGAGCCTGAAATGGCAGCGGAACCGATGATACAAAATTCGGCAAATTCGTATCACACACAACGGGACCAAGACATAACATTCTCGTGACAATCATATCTAACAAGGGTTGGTTATTGTTGTTGTTGTTGTTGCTGTTGTTGTTGTTGAACTCTCATTTCTGAAGAATAATTATTGTTGATCTCCCCGTCCGGTGCACATTGCTTTTTTTTCGATTGAAGTGCCCTTCCCTGGGCTCGCACCCTGTTCTTTTATCAGGGAAAGACTTGAGGGTCAAACTGTGTCGTTGGACCCCGGATTGCAACAACAACGGCTCCCGCCAGAGACTTCCTCACAATTTAGCCAGGACCCCCGCTCCCGCCCGAGATTTCCTCGCGTTTTATTCAGGAATCGCGCTCTCGCTTGGGACTTCCATAGAATTTATGTTCCCGGCGCTCTGGAGTCGCGCTCTCGCTGGAGACTTGCTTGCAATTTACAAAAAAAAGAATAGCGCCCTTGCGTTGGAATTTCTTGCAATTTACTCAAGCGCCGCGCTCTCGACACCCAGGCACCCAGGAGTCACGCTCACGCTTAGGACTCCCTCACAGATTACATAGAAATCGGGATCTCGCTGCCTTTCGTGGCCCCGTTCGTTGCAGCCCTTCGTGGCCCCCTCGCTTTGTTCAGTGGCCCCGTTGCAGCCCTTCGTGGCCCCCGCGCTGCCCTTCGTGGCACCGTTGCAGCCCCTCGCGGCCTCCTCTCTGCCCTTCGTGGCCCCGTTGCAGTCCTTCGTGACCCCCTCGCTTTGTTTCGTGGCCCCATTGCAGCCCTTCGTGGCCCCCTCGCTGCCCTTCGTGGCCCCGTCGCAGCCCTTCGTGACCCCGTTGCAGCCCTTCGTGGCCCCGTCGCTGCCCTTCGTGGCCCCGTTGCATCCCTTCGTGGCCCCCTCGCTGCCCTTCGTGGCCCCATATATGTATGCCATTCGTGGCCCCCGCTCGTTCGCGCCCGTGGTTTTACCATATGCATCTGTCCTACGTGGCCCAGTTGCTACTCTCAGTGGCCCCATCGTTGCCTCTTGTGGCCCCGCATTATCTGCCCTTCGTGGCCCCCGCTCCTTCGCGCTTTTCGTGGCCCCATACGCATTCCCTTCGTGTCCCCGCTGCTGCCCTTCGTGGCCTACTTCGTGTCCTTGTGGCCCTGCTGTCGTTCTCTTTCGCTCTCGCTTTCGCTCGTCGTGGTCGTCGCCGTCGTCGTCGTCGTCGTCGCCGTCGTCGTGGTCGGTCCCCTGTCCGTCCCTCTTGGGGTCGGGTCGACGGTCCTCGGCCGCCCCCCCGATCAGCACTGCCGCTGGCCAGGCCGACGGTCCGCGGCCGCCCCGCCGCTTGCCGGGGCCCGGCCTGCAGGGAAGAAAGGTAGACCCCCCAAAAGGGGTTCGATCGAAAACGAAGAGGGCGGGTATCGAGGGTTTGGGAAATAGGCGTTATTGGACACACGAGCAGATAAGGGCGAACAGTCTTAAAATGATTGTTGTTGTTGTTGTTGTTGTTGTTGTTTTTGGCTGTTGGCTGTTGGTTGTTGGGTGTTGGTTGTTGCTGTATTTGTTGTTGTTGTTGTTGATGTAGTTGTTGTTGTTGTTGGTGGTGTTGTTGTTGTTGTTGGTGTTGTTGTTTATGGTTGTTGTTGTTGGTGTTGTTGGTGGTGGTGTTGTGGTTGTTGGTGTTGGTGTTGTTGTTGACTGTTGCCGTTGGTGTTGTTGTTGTTGTTGTTGAACATTATTTATTCTAAAGAATAATTATTGTTGGGCCCCCTGGTGCGCGCCCCCCCTGCGCCGCCTAGGCCGCAGCTACATTTTCATCATTTTCGTGAGGAAGCCTCAGGTAAAACGATGTGATCCAGATCCGGTTGTTTTGTTGTAATCCGTTTTTCCCTTGCAAAAAACACTATAAAATGACATTTCTTGTTCTAATATAATCAAATTTCAAGAATCCCTTGCAAAAAATAAGGTAAAGTGGACATTCGCGCGCGCAAGACGAAATCCTTCCAAAAGCTTAGTGTTCGGAGCGATTTTAACATAAAAACATCAAAAAACCAATGGTTTTTCAACAAAAAAATGTCAAAATCTCATCCCGCGCGCTCTTGCGGATTCGTAGGAAACCCAACACTTTTTAAACATTTCTGTCAAACGGGCTTTTGCGAGCAACTTTTTCGAACTTCTGCAACAACGGTTGCGCACCTGCCAGGGCCATCATCCCTGTCAAATAATACCATGCGGGACACATTCGTTTTTTCTTCGCGCGCGCACGCCGTCGTCGTCGGCCGCGGGGCCCTGAATAGTAGCCACGGTCGTCCGCATGCCACGAAGTGAAGTGTCCGAACGTCATAGGGCGGGAAGCTGGGTGTGGGTGGTGGCGAAGAGTCGTTTGGAAATTTGGTAGAGCTTGAACCGGCCCCCCCACAAAGTGGGGGTATTGCCCGCCTCCTATGAAAACCCTGGCACTGGTGAGAACGGAGTGTCCCCACGTGCTAGTAATTGTTGTTGTTGTTGTTGTTGTTGTTGTTGTTGTTGTTGTTGTTATTGGTGGTGGTGGTGATGGTGTTGTTGTTGCGATGTTTTTGAAAAGGGGTCCAGGGGCATGGTGTGCTCGGTACGGTGCAACAAAGAGGTTGCATTTGAGACGCGTCTTTTTCTTCATCTGTGGTGTCATTTTGCAAAAAAAAGTTGTTTATGGTTGTTGTTTTGGTCGTTGTTGTTGTTGGTGGTGGTGTCCTCTCCTTTCCTCTCTCCTCTCCTCTCCTCTCCTCTCGTCCCCTCCCCTCCTCTCCCCTCCCCTCCTATGCCCTCCCCTGCCCTGCCCTGCCCTGCCCTGCCCTGCCCTCACCTCCTTCCTCCTCCCTCTCCTCCTCCCACCCTTGCCCCTGCCCTCTGCATGTCCACCATTTCAGCGCACCCAGTGCGGCGCTTCGTGGCCCCAACGGGAGCTCCACCGAAGGCCCCAGTGTCTGTGATCACCTGCGTCCCGCGCCACCCCATATGGCGTTTCGGGGTCCCATAGGGAGTTCTACCGAAGGCCCCAGTGGCTGTGATCACATGCGTCCCGCGCCACCCAGCGCGGCGTTTCGTTGCCCCACAGGGATCTCCACCAGAGGCCCCAGTGGTTGTGATTACATACGTCCCGCGCCACCCTGCACAGCGTTCCGCGGCCCTGTTTGGAGCTCCATTGGAGGCCTCAGTGGCTGCGATCACATGCGTCCCGCGCCACCCAGTACGATGTTCGTTGCCCCATGGGGAGCTCCACCGAAGGCCCCCTTGGCTGTGATCACATGCGTCCCGCGCCACACAGTCGGCGTTCCGTGGCCCGAAGGCCCTACTGGCTGTGCGCACATGCGTCTCCCCCTTCCCATTTCGACATGCCCCTCACGCGTTTCGTGGCCCCTATGCGGAGCTCCACTAAAGGTCCCAGTGGCGACGTTCGCATGGCGGCCCCGCTCCATTTCGGCACACCCCTGACACGTTTCGTGGCCGCTTATGGAGCGCCACCGAAGGCGCCAGGGCTGCGCCCGCATGCGTCCCCGCCCCTGTTCGGCAAACCCTTTACGCGCTCCGTGACCCCATAAGGAGATCCACTGACGGCGATGTCCACAAAGACGATACCTACAACTGCATATGTTTGGGTCCGTCGCCCGGATAATTTGTTGGGTTTGTTCAAACGGCGGGTTTGCCTCGATTTTGGCCCACTGGGTTCATTCTCGGGCCCCCAGGACCATGAACACTGATTCCTGGACGCAAAGCTACCCCTGGGGTCGGGACCTCCAGGGCCGCGTATTGAACAAATACACCAGCGGATGTCATGTTCGTGTGGTTTTGGAGGTGGTCGTGTGCACCGATCTTGGGCCCCAGATGGGCCCTGCTAGGATCGTTGAGGTGGCCAGTTGGGGTTCATCAGGCGTCGGTGCTAGGCTCACTGGGAGGTCAGAAGTGGGCCGCGCGGACAGTTGAGTCGCTTGCCAGGGGTTCTCCGGGTCCTCCGGTCAATTGCACAGGTCACATCAGTCAACAGCAATCGGATAATTATTCCAACAGTGTTTTTTCCCCTCTGCTCGGCCCAGCACTCGCAGCACAATCTCTCCATTTCGCTCGTCGGTGTTAGTGCACAGCTCGACTTTGGCAATCTATGCGATCGCACAGGTTCTACGAGTGCGACACCAAGGCTGCCGCCGAAGCTGAAGGCACCTAAGGAGGCGAAACCGAAGAAGACGCCCAAGGAGGTGAAGCCCAAAAAGCCCAAGGAAGTGAAACCCAAAGAGCCCAAGGCGTCGAAGCAAAAGCCATCAACTCCTGCTGCGACCTCCCCTGAGGAGCCGGGGCAGATGACAGGAAGGAGGAGGGAGAGGGCGAGGAGGAGGAGGAGGAAGGCGAGGAGCCGAGGCAGAGCAGCGTAGCAAGCACACGACGCAGGGCGGCATTCGAGATGACCTGGCAGCGCAGGGACAAAATGGAGGCAAGGAGAACATGAGTCAGATCCACTGGATCGGGCAGGAGCAGTCCTGGAAACATCGCCGACGTTCCAAGCAGCGCCCAGAGCCGTGGGTTGCCGATGCGCACTCTTGTTCGAAGTGTGCGCGCGAGAAGTGCTGGGCTCCACTTCTGCAGCCGCATCGGCATGGACCAGCAACGTCAACTCCTTCTCATCATTTTGTGTCCTTCTCTTCCACTTTCTCATTTCCCTTCCTCTTCCAATGCTGACTCGAGAGACTTAGGCTCCAGAGCGTAGCCTTTTTTACCTTTCCTATGGCTTGTTTGAGGTGGAGCACCGTCGGGAGCGTACGTCCCGCTCTTGCCAAAAGCAGGCCTTGTCTGGCACTTACTCTTCCTGCCCTTTCCTCCCGCCGGTGCGAAGAAGGCGCAGCGCGGCGGCGGGGGAGCTGGTGCAACCCTTGCAGAGATATCGGTCCCTGCGCGGACGGCGGCGCACCTGATGGATGGCTGGGACCACGACCTGGATTTCACGGCCGGGGCCAGGCTATCTCCTTGGATTTTACAGCCCCGTCTTACTGAATCAAACAGTCCTGAGGGGGCAGACCGCCGCCCCGCTATGTTCGCATAGTGGAATTCGTAGGATGGGGGGGGCCAAGATGGCGCCAGAGAGTGAGAGAGAGAGAGAGAGAAACAATGAGAACAAGAGGAGGAGGGATGTCGCCCCCCGAGTGAAACGAAAACATGACAGCCGCCTCTTGGAGACTTCGCGGGGCTTGAGGGGGAGAGCATTGGAACTCTGTTCGGGCCCTGTTGCGGCGTTCTGGGGCCCTCTTGGGACCACCTGGGGGGTCTCTTGGGCTCTCCGTGGAGTTCTAGGGGGCCTCTCGTGGCCATGTCGCAGAGCATCTGTCAAAGCAATGTGGTGAGCGATGGAAGCGGGAGGAGAGCAAATCATTTCGAGTTGGTTTTTGGCTCCTGCAGGGGGCCCCGCGGTCTTTCTGGGGGCGCCCCAGGCAGACTGACGACCGACAAATGCGCCAAGACGGCGCCCGCTAGGAGGATGGGGGCTCCGAGAGGAGGTGAGGACGGCCACAGAGAGCATCCGCATGTTCCAAGATAGCAGCTATGGCCCGCGGAGATGCCCGGCAGCTCGAAGAGAGGCGCCAGGAGAAATGCGAAATGTTCAGAATCGTCAGGGCTCACTTTTAAAACATTTACACATGTATCTATCTATCCACATATACACACCCCGACCATCTTCTGGTGTTGGGTCCTCGTTTTGAAGAGACGGTCCCCGCGGCCTCACCTCTCCTCTCTTCCTCCTCCTCCCGTTCCTCCCTCCTCCCACCCTTGCCTCGGCCCTCCGCATGTCAGCCTGTTCGGCGCTCCCGTCGCCTCCCTTCGCTGTTACACACCTTTCACACGTTTCGTGGCCCGATCGGGAGCTGCACGGAAGGTCCAAGTGGTTGCGCCCGCATGCCGCCAGCCCTTCCACTTTGGCACACCGCTCACGCTATTCGTGGCCCCGTAGGGAACTCCACCGAAGGCCCCAGTGGCTGCGCCCGCAGGCCGCCACCCCCTTCACGTTGGCACACCCCTCAGACGCTTCGTGGCCCCCATGGGGAGCTCCACCGAAGGCTCCAGTGGCTGCGCCCGCGTGCCGCCACCCCCTCCATTGTGGCACACCGCTTACGCTATTCGTGGTCCCGTAAGGAACTCCACCGAAGGCCCCAGTGGCTGCGCCCGCATGCCGCCCCCCCCCTCACTTTTGCACCCTTCAGACGCTTCGTAGCCCCCATAGGAATCTCCACGGATGGCCCAGTGGCTGCGCCCGATGCCGCCACCCCCTCACTTTGGCACACCCCTCACGCGCTTCGCGGCCCCATGGTGAATCTCCATCGAAGGCCTCGGTGGCTGCGCCCGCATGCCGCCACCCCCTCCATTGTGGCACATCGCTCACGCTATTCGTGGTCCCGTAGGGAACTCCACCGAAGGCCCCGGTGGCTGCGCCCGCATGCCGCCAGCCCCCTTCACGTTGGCAACCCCCTCACACGCTTCGTGGCGCCATAGGGACCTCCACCGAAGGCCCCAGTTGCTGCGCCCACATGCCGCCGCCCCCCTCACTTTGGCACACCCCATCGGACGCTTCGTGGCCCCATACGGAGCTCAACACTTCGTGGCCCCATACGGAGCTCAACATACGGCCTCAGTGGGTGTGCCCACATGCCGCCACCCCCCTCACTTTTGCACACCCCTCATACGTTTCGTGGCCGTTGGAATGGACGGGGGTAGCTGTATGGAGTACAGACACGAAGTACAAGTATGGGGGGCCCGTGCTATGAGAGAGCACGTTCTCTTTCCTTTCACGGGGCCAGGACGCGCCCGTCGCTTGCGCGCCAGGTGATTCATTGGCCCTTGTGAGCCACAACGGCGGCACACAAGGGAGGTGGGACGGAGGCGAAGGAGGAGGAGGAGAGGCTGACATTGGCATGACGACCACAGCTCCTACCTTTCTTGCACCGAAGCGCCTCCTAGGCTCAGTCCGAGAACTTCCATTGTGTCGCTGGGGGCGGTTTTGCAAAAGCGGTCCGCTACCCTGCTACCCTGCTACCTCTCTGCAACCTTGCTACCCTTGCTGCGGCCTCGCTGCCGAACAAGGTAGCAGGGTAGCGGGGTGGCAGGGTGGCAGGGTGGCCGGGTAGCGGGATAGCGGGGTAGCAGGGTAGCAGGGTTGCGGGGTAGCGGGATAGCGGGGTAGCAGGGTAGCAGGGTAGCAGGGTAGCGGGACTGGGGACAGGGTCGCACGGAGTCGCCGTGATTGGGGAAAGGGTCGCCGTGACTGGGGACCTGGATATGTGGACAGGTATCGCCAGAGTGCGGACGCTTTGGCTATTTCTTGCATTGCTTTTCATCTCAGGGTTAGGCGCTTGTGTAGGACTGTAGACTTTGGGGCTCGAGCTCGACAGTTCGCCGTCAATGGGGCAGGTTTAGGGCGACCTGCGTGTAGTGTCCGCCTGCGCTCGCTACACGAGCTGATGTTTAACAAGTGGAGCGTCAAACCTAAGCCGTGGGCACTGCGAAGCGGTCAGCAAGTTCAGGCACCAGTGCCCGTGCCGGCCCCAGTCCGTGCAGCACCTAAGGCCCGAGCTCTTCCGAGACAGCCTGCTTTAGCGGCGCTGCCTGCACCTTTGCCAGCTGAGCAATGCACGCTGGACGATGCTGCCCTGTTACTGCGCGCCGAGCGAGCTGGCCGCCGCAATAGCAAACTCAAACGTGAAAGATGCATGGCGGTGCGTTTGCAAGCTGGGCGATCGCCGCGTACACTGTTGCGGCTGATGGAGCAAGGGCTGCTCCCAGAGCCTGAATCGATCATCCTGGATACTGCGCTTCCGACTACAGGTCTGACGGCTACGGTGCATGGCCTGGAGGTTTGGATTATAGGCCAATGCTCCTTCCGAGGAATGCCGAGGTTTGACGTGGCTCCCATCCAGGCGTTCCCTGGTCCAGCAGGTTCTACGCACACCTTGAAGCTGCGCGCTGTGCACACATGCTCCAGGGAGGAATTGCACGATGTTTGCTACCGCTATCAAGTAGAGAGCATCAAAAAGAGGATGGTGAGGTTGACAGACATGACGCCGACAGCAGATGATGCCCACTGGCAGATACTCTCTGCTAGGAAGCGGTTGGCATCTTTAGTCCCTCTCCCAATTCCAGTAGAACCGGCGATAGACGACGATGCACGAGTGCAAGATCCTGCGATGGTCGTTCCAGCAGAGGCAACAAGACACGCTGAAAGTGACGGTCACGTGGTTAAGCCGCGAGGCCAGCGGCTGTATGGAAAACGAAAATTGGCTGGCTCTGTGATTAGGGATGCGGACAGTTTCGTGGACTTGGTTGCGCGGCCATGGCGATGTATAACTTGTCAAGCAAACCGTGGGATTGCGGGAACGCATTACTATGCTCCCACGGTAGTAGATGTTGAAAAAGCTGTGCCAGACACGCTGACGCTTGGTGATGTTTCCTCACCATGCGTTTTTTGATGCAGCATTTGATTGCCTTGTATGAGACGACGAACTTCCGAGCGGCGCGGCGATGGCTTGTGGATATGTTGTTGACTCGGACGATGCGTAGCGCCAGACCGACCTCAAGCGATTGGCAGCGCAGCTGGAAGTGTTTCCGAATGCGGGCCGACTTCGAGACATAGCATTGATTGCTTTCCCAACAGTTATCTCGAAGCGGGTTTTGGCACAGCAATCTCGGGACCATGGAATCCTTGGATATCCCATGTCGATTTAGCGTCGTAACTCTTGGGGACAGCAGGATCATTGAGCTTGTTGTCGTAGTCGGCGCCATGATCTTTCCACTTGTCGCACGACGAGAAGGAGTCATACGTTTAGGGAATTTGCTGTAGATTTCTGCTGCGGCAGGTCCTTGGTGAATGTGTGCTGTTTTGGTGCTGTCAGGTCCTGCTGCGTATATCTCAGACCACTCTTGGCGACGGCTTCTGGTATTTCCAAGAAACTTTTGTTTTAGATGAGCAGGTAACGGATTGATGTAGATTTCGTCCTCAGCACGCTTCTTTTTGAAGAAGAATGATCTCGAGGTGATGAGGTCGGCTGCTTCTGATTGACGGGTTGTGTAGACGTTGTCCAAGTCGGGAGTTTTCGTGCGCTCCTAAGTCATCTGCTACGTGGACATTATGACTGCTGTCCACGTAGTAGGTAGCCAGTTCACCTGCAGAGTCCACAGATGGAAATTCAGGAGGTGCCATCGTACTTGGCGCTTGTGGCGTTAAACATGAAACCGCATTTGCGGGCCAGGGCATGCCTGAGCCTCGCGCAGCTGCGCTGGAGGTTCCCCGTGGCGCCTCTGCCGCGGA